GATTCAACTTTTTTGATTAGCTTGGTTGTGACTATACTTCTCTTGGAGTTGTCTAGAACTGATCTGATCATCCGTTTAATTATCTACAAATATACAGTAAATTGTTTAAAATTATATTAACCAAATGTTAAATAATGTGAGATAAGCATATTGTTTTTAGCTATATAACATATGTAATCATGTTATATATTGAATTTTACTAAGTTTCCATGATCATATTTTTATAATTAGTTTTCATAACTATATATAAATAAATTAGTAAATATAAAAAACAATATACTGTATATACAGTATAAACTTACTTGTATTAGATTTTCTTTTAATATATTTAAAACTTCTTGTATATATAAATTAATAAAATATATAAAATATTGTAAATGGTTTTTGTTGTACTAAAAGATATTGCTTAAGTTTTATTTCACTCTTCTACCAATTTAACAAATACAACATTATTTGTAGTATTATTAGTTGTAATTTCCAATATTTTTAAAATTAAATAAACTATTTTAATCCTATATTATATTTATTTTAAATATAATATATAAATAAATTTACCTTTATTTAAATCAAAATTTCTTTAAACATAATAAAAATGCTTCTTTAATATTTTTACTTGAATAGATATCTACAACTATACAAAGTCTATTATTATACTCCATATTCTTCAATTTTTATTGATAAAATAGGCAGTTATACCTAAAAATACTTTTATTGAAAATAACATCCAAATATCAAGTGTAAATAAAATATGGCTTTCTATTTTTTGTAACATCTTTTGAATTTTTTCTTGATCATTTAAATAATAGTTTATTATATAGATTTTGATAGAAGTAGTAGATAGTATTTTTGTATCTAGTACTAAAGTTTATATAAAAGTAAGAAAAGCTGATTTTTAAACAATTGTAAAAGATTGCTAATTGATAATGATCTATTAAACAAGTTTTTTTTCATTTTTGTTAAGTAGTATGTCCACTATATATAAATATAAAAAATTAATAGTATTTTTTTTAAAATTTAAAAATTATTTGAAATTATCTTCATTTTAAAAAAATTAGTAATTTTAGTATTGCTAGTTATTAAATTTAATTTTGCTAAATGAGTTTTTTCAAGATGATTTATAAATTAAAAATGTTATCTCCACTACAAGTATATATTGTTCTACAATATTTACAGGTAATTTTTTTGTTCTCTTTAAAACTTGTACTCCTTGTAAAGTGTTCCTATATTTTACTTTTAAAAATTGTTGAGGTAACTGAAGCTGATTCTGATAGATTACTTGTATTAGCATTTTCAATATAAATTTTATCATGACTAGTTAAACTACTACTTTTATCATATACAAATTGAATAGAAGAAATTGTTTATGGATTGGATTGCGGTGGTCCTCATAAATATAATCTTACAAAATGGGGCTCTGATAAGTATCAACTTTCAAGGATGCTCAAAGACATATTAGATGACATATTAGAAAAAATTCAAAGTAAAAATAAATGTACATCAAATATTTATACTATTGGATTCAGGCAAGATTGATAAATTTTGCACACTAAATCTGCTATATAACCTCTTTCAATTTGGTGTTCTAATATATTTTTGTCTTGATTTTTTCTTCGAAGAGTTATGATCACTGTAACTTCACCCTAAAAAATAACTCATAAAACTTTTAATCCAAAAATAAAAAAAAATGAATTGATGTAAAACTTATCATAGAACATGATAAAAAGCATTCAATTTCAGAGCTTCTTTAAATATAGGAATGATATAATTCCTGAACCACTCCCTTTCTCCACAATTATATTGTTGTATAGAATTATATTTAGATTCAAAAGTATCAAGACTAAAATCATAGTTAAAATGATGGTTATGACATAATCGAACCCTGTAAAAAAAGGCTTACAATGATATAACAGCACGTTTTGTTCAATATAGAATCTTTTCCCAGTCTTCCTTTTTATATAAAAAATTATCATTATATTATGATGCCTTTAAATTTCTTAAGTTCTTCTATTTATTACGAGATTTATAAAGTTTAGGTTGTTTCTGTAAATATCACAAATATGTAAATATTCATAACAAAATGTTCAAGTTTTCAAATATATCTTACTTTTTTACAAAGAGGACTAAATAGGTAATTGCAAATAGATTCAATTTCCTTATGATATTCAGTTTCGATTATGACAAGTAGATCAGATATGAGCTCAGTCCATAACTTTGGCTCAAATTCTCCTTCTATTTTTGACATGGGTGTAAAATTCAGGATAAAGCTATGAGCCAAACTGTACAAGAGAAATAAATTAAATTATGAAATAAATATAATATAGTAGCTGTTATAAAAAATGCATCCTGCATGTATTCTAATCAAAATGATTATTATTTCTGAAATAAAGTTTTGAATGTTCTTAAAAATTGTATAATATTATTGATAACTATATTTAGTAAATAATTAAATATGACTATATTTTTTCCCGTTCACCTGTGGTGCAGCAAACCCAGGCAACAAAATGATAAAGAGAAATAAGACATGGAGAGACCCAGAGATAACAATACGTCACTAGCAGGCCAAACTATAACATCGATAAGATATCCAAGGGTAAGGCCACCCTCATCAAAAGAAAAGAAGAACAGATACCCGAAAAGAAACACACAACAACAACCCAGAGTGACAACAAAAATAAAAAACAACCCTCTCCCTCCAATAACGTCTCCACCCCCGAACAGAACCACTTAAACAGCACCACGATAGCAACAAGCAGCAATAGAAAAAACAATAGCAATCCCAGCTCATGGAGTGAGCAAGTTGAACGAGAGCAACTCCAAATAGCAGCAGCCATAGAACAGACAACCACTAACATGGTCCCCTTGGCACAACACACAGCAAGGTTAGACGACTCCGATATTGATATGGACCTCAATGAGGAACCCTCAGAAACAGAAGACGATTGGCAGATTGCTGGTAACAGCAAAGGAAAAAACAGAAGACCTTCGATATATAAACCTGGTTCAAGACCACGACCCAGGTCACCCTTCAACTCCAGACTCAAATTTGGACACAAAAGAATCAAGCTCAGAGTGAAAGCTTCACTAATCCCTGGCAAAACAACTTACAAAAAGATACTACACATCACGAAAGCCCTGAACTCCCCAGAAGGCCTCCTCTTAATTCAAAACGAACACCGCGAAGATGAAGACTACATTATTACCATATTCGGAGATCAACAAGCAGCAGATGATGCAAGCAACCTTATCTTTCCAAATACAGACAACCTCCGCTTATCACACATGAAAAAAACCATACACAGGCTTAATAAGGAATGCAGTATAAGAGTCTGAGACATCCCCTTGAACACAAGACTCATAGACGTACAACAAACTTTCGTCAAATTCGGGCAGATCAACAATATAAAAATGACAACTAGAAACATGTGGCAATCTGCGACTCGTCTTCTGTTTCTGCGGGTTC